AGGTGGGAATTTCATATATCCCATGATGCTTCGCGGCTAATTTCTGTCTTCTGTCCGCGGTGGAAAGAGCGTTCGAGATTTTCGAGGGAGATTTTCAAGGGCCTGAATTTCAAGATGCAGCTCATCCAGGTATCTGATTGATAATGTAAAATGTTTCCAAGGTCATTTCACGCGTTATTGCTCTCGTTTCCGACCCTGTTAAGCCATGCTGTTTTAACTCGCAAGTGAATATTTATTTAGATGACTTTCAATTATCGAAAACTGTCTTTATTCTAGAAAGGTTTTGCCCTAATAAACTATTTAAATCGGCGGACAAGGGGTGCTTGATAATAGTTCCACGCTCCGACCTCTTTCGACCTCTCGATTTTTATGGGTTTGATCGTTTTGGAATATCGTATTTTCTCCCCTTTCTCCGCAAAGATGTAAGGCGAAGGTTTCAACTTCTTTATGCTAAGTCCTGCGAAGATGGGACATTTTTTCTTGAATTCGCTCTTTTTCCGCTGATCAAAACACAAATATTATCTCTTGAGGGTATTATGAGTGTTTAAATTCAATGGTTTATAGTATTAAAGCTTGTTTGTCTCATTATTTTAGGTAAAATTGGTTTCTCATGGTGGCTTCCGGTCGGAAAGGCGCGAGGCGAACTTGAAATGTACAGGCCAGCAAATGTCATGGAATAACATGCCGTAGGATCTCAACCGGCGTATAAAACCTTTAAAGACATTTCAATAAGTCTTTTACGATCCATTGTAAAGAAGAAGTGGGTGTTTTTGTTTTTGTATATATATTTTACCTTTTCTTAATAAAGCTTTTTCTGTTTATGTTTGACGAATGCTTAGCTGGTGTTCTGTTGCGAAAAATGCAGAGATGTCTTTGTTATTTTTTTGTTTGTTGGAGCTATCTCTTCCGTTGAATTTTATCTCCGATAGACGTCACTTTGTACTCTCCCGGTGTTTTCGACTGCATAAGCCGAGCTTGTTGAAGTAAAAGCATGTGCGGTGAACGAACGGTCAGTGAACGGTTGATGTACTGCATCGATGAATTATTGAACTGACAATATGAACACCGCGATCACAAGCAAGCAACGAAGAGAAATATCACAACTAGAATATGTATTTATTTCAGGACAAGTACGTGGAAATCGCTTGTTAATCCATGGAGAGCTGTATCAACGCTCGTTAAAACAGGACGTATTGAAGCAAAGACCTTGCAAGCTTCTAAGAACATTTGCGTGGACTGCCTTGCGATGGTAAGGCATTCGTTATCGACAAGTTCAGGTTCATCGCAATACTCAACAAGGACAGCGGCCAAATGGAGGAGGGAATCAACTGAACATAGCTCGATACAAGAGGACAGTGTACAGCATAGCATGGGTGCAGTTAGCTTTACTTATTTGCTATATTCCATACATCTTATTAGGGTTTATAAGGCTGTTTCGTAAACTACCCTTTTCGACCAAATCATATATTACCACAGAATCATTTGTAACTCTCGTTTACTTAAATTCTTCTTTAAATCCAGCGCTTTATTGTTGGAGGATCAGAGATGTGAAACAAGAAGTGAAAAACATGATTTGCAAGATTTTCTGCTGCTTTTAAAGTTAATGACTATAAAAAAAGGAACTGATAAAGTTGACTCATTTTACTGCGGATATCAGAGACTGTATATCTTTTGAGATCCATACAAAGTTAGAAAATATCTCAAGTAATTAAAACAGAAATTAAAGAGGTGATTTGCTGATTCATGTGTCTAGAAAATTGATGATTTTGCGCACACGGTAAAAATGGAATCAAATAAAATTGCCTAATGTTGGCCACTTTTATACCTTATTTTGACTCGTTTTTCTGTAGGCCTTTACTTAAAATCACCTTTTTGATGGTTTACAAAGACAAAAATTGTTGTTTTTTAGTTTTCACAAATAAGGATAAACTTGGAAGATTTCGTTCATCACTGAGAAGGTGGAATAAAGCTGGGCAGGTGAGCGATGATATGTCAACAAGGACCCACTAAGGGTACGCTAGCCCTCTTTCTTTACTTCCTAGAACTGATTTGGATCAGGGCTGAGATATAGACACACTATAACATTAAGACTCGTCTCTTTGGTTTTAATCTGTTTTGTTAATTAGTGTCCTAACATCCTTAGAAGCTCTTTATTTTGTGAACTTTACTATTATTTTTGTTGTTATATGAACGTTTTCTTACCTAACCATTTTTCACACTCTTCGTAAGAAGCAAGCTCGAATTCAACGAAATATTCAAGAACGATCAAACGGAAAGGGGAATCAACTGAACCGACAAATTGTAGCTCGATACAAATAAAAACCGTTTACAGGCATAACATGGGTGCAGCTAGCCTTACTTGGTTGCTATGCTCCACTAGCTGTCATTTCAATAACATTCTGTTTAATAGCCGGTTTCAGTTAAATACCGCAACAGCCATTGCTCGGGAATCATTTGTAACTCTCTTTCATTTAAATTACTTCTAAACCTTGCGTTTTACTTTTGGAGGATCAGAGATGTGAGACAAGAAGTAAAGAACACGATCCGCAAGATTTTCTGCTGTTGAGTTTAATGGCTGTAAACGAGCAACATAACAAAGACACAACATATATGAAGTAGTAACATGAAAATTTTAATTTCAAAAAAATGTTTTTGGGATCGTTGAACCCGAAAACATTTCCTAAGCACCTGTTGTTTGGCTTTCATGGGATGTTTGCTTCGAAGCCGGAATAGCATTACCAGTTTGAAGTTATAATATATTATAATAAATCCCAGCCCGGGCAAATACTACGGTTAACGGTTAAGAAACCCCCCGACGGTTCAGCTGAGAAAAATATCCCTTATCAAAGGCGGGTGGGGGGAAGGTGGGAATTTCATATATCCCATGATGCTTCGCGGCTAATTTCTGTCTTCTGTCCGCGGTGGAAAGAGCGTTCGAGATTTTCGAGGGAGATTTTCAAGGGCCTGAATTTCAAGATGCAGCTCATCCAGGTATCTGATTGATAATGTAAAATGTTTCCAAGGTCATTTCACGCGTTATTGCTCTCGTTTCCGACCCTGTTAAGCCATGCTGTTTTAACTCGCAAGTGAATATTTATTTAGATGACTTTCAATTATCGAAAACTGTCTTTATTCTAGAAAGGTTTTGCCCTAATAAATTATTTAAATCGGCGGACAAGGGGTGCTTGATACTAGTTCCACGCTCCGACCTCTTTCGACCTCTCGATTTTTATGGGTTTGATCGTTTTGGAATATCGTATTTTCTCCCCTTTCTCCGCAAAGATGCAAGGCGAAGGTTTCAACTTCTTTATGCTAAGTCCTGCGAAGATGGGACATTTTTTCTTGAATTCGCTCTTTCTCCGCTGATCAAAACACAAATATTATCTCTGGAGGGTATTATGAGTGTTTAAATTCAATGGTTTATAGTATTAAAGCTTGTTTGTCTCATTATTTTAGGTAAAATTGGTTTCTCATGGTGGCTTCCGGTCGGAAACGCGCTAGGCGAACTTGAAATGTACAGGCCAGCAAATGTCATGGAATAGCATGCCGTAGGATCTCAACCGGCGTATAAAACCTTTAAAGACATTTCAATAAGTCTTTTACGATCCATTGTAAAGAAGAAGTGGGTGTTTTTGTTTTTGTATATATATTTTACCATTTCTTAATAAAGCTTTTTTCTGTTTATGTTTGACGAATGCTTAGCTGGTGTTCTGTCGCGAAAAATGCAGAGATGTCTTTGTTATTTTTTTGTTTGTTGGAGCTATTCTCTTCCTTTGAATTTTATCTCCGATAGACGTCACTTTGTACTCTCTCGGTGTTTTCGACTGCATAAGCCGAGCTTGTTGAAGTAAAAGCATGTGCGGTGATCGAACGGTCAGTGAACGGTTGATGTACTGCATCGATGAATTATTGAACTGACAATATGAGCACCGCGATCACAAGCAAGCAACGAAGAGAAATATCACAACTAGAATATGTATTTATTTCAAGACAAGTACGCGGAAATCGCTTGTTAATCCATGGAGAGCTTTATCAACGCTCGTTAAAACAGGACGTATTGAAGCAAAGACCTTGCAAGCTTCTAAGAACATTTGCGTGGACTGCCTTGCGATGGTAAGGCTAGTTAACTAATAATCGGCCGCCAAAACACTCTCTTTGACTTAACAAGAGATATATTTGGAATAGTAGAACGAAAATCGTAAATAGATTGACACGGCAAAGGTACAGAAGGTTTTATCAGCAACACAAGTCGATTTCCACCGTAGTTCAATTATCGCGTCCCTGTTGAACTGATAGATCACGTGCGTTTGGAAGCTTGATAACATAGAATGAAGCGATGCATCATGGATATGTGAAATTCCCCCCTTATACCTTATCCATCAATTTTCTGCCAAAGTTGAAACTTTTTAATTTTCACACTGAAAACGTTACTTCCTTTTCAGCTTAAAAGAACACCAACTTGTCATCCAATTAAAAAAATGCATACATTGAATCCGATGAATAAACCTGCAGCCGGATACCCGCGTTTAAGACGCTCAATAGAGAAACTGTTAACCTTTTAATTTCTAAAACAAAAGACCCTTGGACCAATACGGCCCTGTTCACTGGCATGTTTCCGTTTAGCCCAAATAAAGAAGAACCACCACTACTAAAAACACAGAGTTTTAAGAGAACGTAGAGTCGTTAAAATGACAAACTAAATGTATGACAAACGACAGAACTGGTCACCTGGTCACTATGAACCGCTAATTAAGACTATAAACGTTTCAATCCATTTGAAATTGTCCGAATATAAGAAAAACAATAAAGCAGCCTTGGAAGCAAATTACAAACCAAGATATTAAAGAAATAATAACTGCAATGGCTACAAGCTTCATTAAGATTATTATCATCATTATTAAATAGCACTAACGGAAAGAAAATAGGCTTCCTTACGGCTTTCTTGCAGACAGAGACACTGTTATTGGTTATTCTGTCAATAGATCAGAAACACTTGTGAAGGCAAAACCACGACGAAAAACCAGTGAGGGTCAGTCGGACTGGGATCTTTAGTCATGTTTAGTTGGCCAGGATCAGTAAAATTTGGAATACCAAGTTTTAAAATTAAAACAGTTAACTGATCCTTAGGAGTGATAGAAAAGATGAAGAAAGAAAACAATCTTCTTGCCGTAAGGATCGGTTTATTGTTTTAATTTTCTAATTTAGTAAATAGATCACCTGCCCAAGTCTGCCCATATCGTCCATAAGCGACCACATTTATCAAACCAATAAGGTGGTTGTCATAATTCGTTGTTTTATAATCGGACTAAGAGTTCGTGCATTGAACGGCTAACTTAAGACACTTAATCAAACAAATAAATTTTCTCCCAAATTCAACAATCGGCATACTCAGCTTCTTAGATTAGGTTTAGCTCATAGAAAGAACAGAAAAATAAACAGGATACGATAGTAGTTCAAAGACCACTGACCGGTATGTCGTAAAATCATGTAGTTCTAAATGTGACAGTCATCCTGTTTAGCTCAGAACCAATTAAAAATAACCTGTTATCATAATCTCTTTACTTGTAGAAACTGTTTATAAAGGCCTGTGTTGTTTCCAAAAGCAATTACAAAAATTAGAAGGAATTCTTTCCATATATATTAAGCCGAGTGTAGTTCCTTTGCAACAAATGTAAAGACATGGCAAACTCAACTGAGTACGAAAACAGCACAAGTGCGACTGAAGTAACATCATGGAATGCTCGTTCAACGAGTATGGTAATTCTTGTAGGCATCAATATTTTTCTCGCCATCATTGCATCTTTTGGCAACGCTCTAATCCTGATTGCTCTTCATAAAGTGACGTCCGTTTATCCACCAACAAAACTGTTATTTCGATGCCTGGCAGTCACCGATCTCTTAGTTGGACTTATCTCTCAGCCACTGTATGTTACTATTCTCTTTCCCCAGTTCACAACTTGGAATGTGAATGTCGCAATTCCGCGTGCAGACGAGTTTTTCTTTTCTCTGCTCCCTGTAGTATCACTCCTTACATCAGCCGCCATCAGTGTGGACAGACTTCTTGCCCTGTTGTTAGGGCTAAGATATAGATACACTGTAACATTAAAGCGAGTTTGGCTGGTCATACTTTGTTTTTGGCTGATTAGTGCTCTTCAAGCTACAGGTAGCACATGTTCAGTTGAATGTCCAAAACTAGATGAAATAACCAATATGTTGTTCTGTGCTCTATTAACACTTTCCTTGCTAGTCTCAGTATTCTCTTACGCGAAGATATTCAAAACCCTTCGTTATCGACAAGTTCAGGTTCATCGCAATACTCAACAAGGACAGCGGCCAAATGGAGGAGGGAATCAACTGAACATAGCTCGATACAAGAGGACAGTGTACAGCATAGCATGGGTGCAGTTAGCTTTATTTATTTGTTATATTCCATATATCGTAATACGGTTTTTAAGTCTTTTAAGAATTCTTGGTAAACTACCCTTTTCGACCGAAATATCTATTCTTTCGGAATTATTTGTGACTCTCCTTTATTTAAATTCTTCTCTAAACCCAGCGCTTTATTGTTGGAGGATCAAAGATGTGAGACAAGAAGTGAAGAACATGATCTGCAAGATTTTCCGCTGCTTTTGAAATGAATAACTTTTAAAAAAGGAACTGTTAAAGTAAGCTCGTTTTTCTGCAGATATCAGAGCCTGTATATCTTTTGAGACCCATACAAAGTTAGAAAATATCTCCAGTAATCAAAACAGAAATTAAAGGGGATGATTTGTGAACTCATGTGTCTAGAAAATTGATGATTTTCATCTGGTAAAAATGAAATCAAATAAAATTGACTAATGTTGGCAAGTCTTTTCTCTGCTCCCTGCAGTATCACTCCTTACATGAGCCACCATCAGTGTGGACAGACTTCTTGCCCTGTTGTCAGGGCTGAGATATAGACTCACTGTAACATTAAGACGAGTTTGGGTAGTAATAGCTTGTTTTTGGTTGATACTGGTTGCCCTTCAAGGATAGATATATATATATTCCCACAGAATCATTTGTAACTCTCTTTTACTTAGATTCTTCTTTAAACCCAGCGCTTTATTGTTGGAGGATCAGAGATGTGAGACAAGAAGTGAAGAACATCATCCGCAAGATTTTCCGCTGCTTTTAAAATTAAAAACTATAAAAAAGGAACTGCTAAAGTGAGCTCGTTTTGCTGCGGATATCAAAGCCTGTATATATCTTTTAAGACCCATACAAAGTTAGAAAATATCTCAAGTTATACTCTACATGAAAAATTTGTACAATTAGAGCAGTGGTTTTTCAGCTTAATTTGAAATGCCTACATGTAAATATTACAAACCTTTTGCGGGTAGTAGTATAAACTAATAATAGCATGGTTTGTACGTTATATTTGGCATAAATACCACTCGTGATATTTCAAAATTGTCTCTAATTTCACTCGCCTAAAGGCTCGTGATTTTACGTATAACAATTTCGAAATACCACTTGTATTATTTACGAAGACAAAATTGTTGTTTTTCAGTTTTCACACAACACAACCCCCAATCAGGACAAACTTTGAAGGTTTCGTTCATCACTGAGAGGGCGGAAAAAAGCTTGCGAGGTGAGGGATGATATGTCAACAAGGACCCACTAGGGTTACCCTTATCTTCCGCTGTTCAAACTTACAGATCTAGGGACGAGATTTAGGGCATCCATCTGGCCCCAGTTGTTCAAAAGGTGGATAAGTAGTCGGTTTCCCTGATACTTATCCACTGAATAGTGATTTATTCGGTGGATAGCGCTATCCAACGTTTGAACAACCAGGGCCTGGTGAGGGTGGTGGAAACGAATTTTTAACCTGAAAATTGGATATAAGATTTTGTATGCAGTGAACATAGCGCGATACAGAAAGACTGAACAGTCAGTTTAGCATAGCTGTAGTTGGCCTTACTTGTTTGCTTTGCTCCTTATAGCATAGCATGCGCATTGTTTACCCGAAATAGAGGGGTCGATGCTTACTTCATGGCAACTATAATTATCAAGACAGTCCTCTAATGGAAAGCGAGCTTTCTACGACGCTAAGTGGAAGAAATATATACAAAATAATAGGCCTGGCAGCTGGATTATGTAAGTGTATTTGGCGTTCGAAATTTAACAAATGGCCGTTTAACCATTCTTTTGACTCGTTACATTTTATAATTTCCGTTTTCATCAGTCCACTTAATATATAGATTTAGCCAGGGCTAAAAGCGAAGCTCTCGATAATTTTGATAGTTTGCTCAAACTGAATATAAAATCGTATAATGCTAAGGGGCGAGGCAACGAGAACGGTAAAAAACAAACAGCAATAGAGTACTAAAGTGATGACGTCATAAAAATGAAATTTCTGAAATTATGGGATTTGTCAAGATTTTCTGAAAGAACAATGTCCAAGAGGCGTACTTGCCAAAAATGGGCATTTGGGGGCAAATTGTCTCTGAGATCGTAGCCCAGTTATGCTTACAAAACTCCATACAAACCCTTCTAAATTTTTTTTGGGTCGACCCAAAAAAAAATTAGAAGGGTTTGTATGGAGTTTTCTGAGTATAACTGGGCTACGATCTCGGAGACAATTTGCCCCCCCGGCCAAATGCTCATTTTTGGCAAGTAGGCCTCTTGGAAATTGTTCTTTCAGAATATCTTGACAAATCCCATAATTTCAGAAATTTCATTTTTATGACGTCATCACTTTAGTGCTCTATAGGTCTAATTAGCAAACAAGCAACTTTACACGCGCAGCACACCTTTTTTGTACATTTCTTTGCCGTTGTTTTGCACGACTGCAACGTGAAACGTCCAGAAACTTCCTGGTTACATGTTTTAAGTGTCGTGCGTGTTCTTGCTCACATTTTTTTTTTTCACTGTCACTCATTTTCACCCTGGTGGCCGCTAGAATCCCGCCGCTACAAAATTTCACGTTGTTCCTCCAACAAAAAATGTCTCTCTTTGTTTCTTGTCTCTCGCTCTAGCTCCTTTTCTCGTTGAGCCTCGCTGGCCTGTCCCCTACTTTCTCTTTTTCTCTGTCTTTTTTTTCTCGATTTTCCAAATTTGTGGACATGACAGTTAATCTAAGCTTAATACTTACAGCGGTTACCACTGACACGCGCCTTTGAAGGGTTTTTCTGTCTGTTTAAACCTGAGTTTTGGTGGACGTCAATCAACTGTTTCCATGGTTTTCCAAGCGCTCTGACAGAGAAGGCTCCCTCATCGCTGAATGAGGGGCGAATAATTTCGAACGACGACGGCTTTTTAAATTATTTTATTAAGATGAAGGATTACATTGTTAAAACAACGAGGTCTCTGCGAGCTGAGTGAAATAGCCGAAACATTCTCTATAGTTTACGTAACGGTTTTCAGGTTGTTTATTTATTTGATTGTATGAAAACACGGGAGCCGTGGACGAATATGCCACAAAGCTAGAATAAATTCAAAGAAACAAAACTCGGATATCACACCGAAAGGGGAAAAAGTTTCCTCTGAATGGAGGCTGTTTTCGAAAATGAATTTTACTTCTTATCATTCTTCATGTTATCGAATAGAAACCAGAACTAGCAAGAACTCAGACGAGTTGCGAGCGATTGAGAAAGCTTATGTGGCTGTAACTTGTAACTTACAGTGTGTAATTATGTCGATAATTAGAGTTTCCACCGAAAAACACTCAACAAATTGTTTCTCCTCGTAATCTTGACATGAAGCGGTGTCAGATCCTGTAGCAAAATATTGCAAAAACGGCTGAAACGCCGACATATTCTTCCGAGTGCTCAAGAAACGGAGAAAGAATCTCCTCTAGGCTAACGCGTGAAAAACCATGGTAACGGTTGATTGACGTCCACCAAAACGCAGGTTTGAACCGAAGAAAAAACCCTTTGAGGGCGCGTGTTAGTGGTAACCGCTGTAAAACAACACGGATACAGAAACATTTTCCGCTTTCCGTTTTCGTCTTTATTGACTCTTTAGTTGTCTCTGCTTCACAAGACGCGGGTGGCCATACGCTTTCCCGCCAAAATAACCTGACATTTGGCATCGGCTTACATGTAGTGGGTGTACGGACGGTCGTTAGTTGTCTCCGCTTCTGCGACTGTTATACATATTAATTAAGGGAAGGCATACGGAAGGCAAGGGAAGGCACCTACGGGGGTTAAGTTTGCTGAAACATGATTTAATTAATTTATTCACAAAGAGAAATGCATACATTCATTCCGATGAATAAAATCCAGGCAGATACACGTGTTTGATTATAGTGAAATTGTATGCCATGTTTAAAACAGAAGACCCTGAGAATCTAGCCTGTTCACAGATCCTCTATTTCAGTCTTCAAAGTCCGTCGAGCCGCGTGATATAAACAGCGGAGGATTTATTGACCGCCAGCGCAAGAGGGTAGGGTAGGGGAAGAAATTTTTCCTTCTCGCGCTCCGTGCTCGCCCTCGCTCGCTTCGCTCTCCCGCTCGCCGATCTTTTCGAAAAGAACTAAAGGAAAAATAGATCAACGGCTGTGTACAGACTACTGAGAACCACACCCTGTTCCAAGGCAAATCCCCTTTTAGCGTCTGATGCGTGCCAAATAAGTGAGTACCACCACTGTTAAAAGCACATTCTTTAATTAAAGACAACCAGGGTTATGGGCTCCTGAGACAACCGCATAAAATAAATACATCACAAAACAACAAAGTTAAATAATCACTCTCTCCTCCGCAGAGGCTCCCGCTGGATATCCCAATAAAAAAAAGCAGTAATCGAAAAAATAGAAAGCGCACGGGGGACGATGGGAGAACAGCACGTTAAATCACAGAGACCTCTTCTCTCTTCCCCCTTCCCATCGTGCCCCGCGTGCTCTATATTTCTTTCTCCCCAGCCCCCCTACGACACAAAGAGGCCTCTGCGGAGGACAGAGGTTGGTCACTATGAACCGCAAACAAAGAATAAACGTTTCAAGCCATTAAAAATTGTCTTAATATCAGAAAATCAATAAAGCAGTCCTGGAAAAAATATAAGCAAAAATATTTTGATAAAATAACTGTAATAGCAACGGGTTATTATTGGCATTAACGAAGCGAAAGTTGGCTTCCTTGCGTGCAGACAGAGACACAGTTATCAGTAATTCAAGCCATTCAATATCACCTGTCCATATCTACCCATATCGTTTATACACGACAGTATTTATCAACCCAATAAGTTGGTTGTCATTTCGTAGTTTTATATTAAATTCGGGCTGGGGGTTCGTGCATTGAATTTCAAATTACACACAATTTTTCAAACAAAGAAAGTTTTCTTACAAATCCAACAGTCGGTGCGCATACTGAGCTCCTTAGGGACGGACCATTAGAAAAGTTATNTTTTTTAATTTCGGTTTCGCTGACACAGCTTTCGCAGAAATCTCGCTGTAGTCGTTTTCGTCGACAAAAGGAATAGCAAAATCGCTCTCCGCGTCTTCCCCCATTTTGTTCTGCGTCATTTCGTGAAGGACGCGTGGCTCTCAGCGTGGGTCATCCACGCGGAACACATTCGCGCTATGTGATTGGCTGTTGTCTAATCCCCCTTGAGATCTGTGGTGTTAAAAATAACTCGAGACGAATTACCTATGGAATAGGGTGTATATGGGGGATGCCCTCTCTGTCCCCTTTATAGTCTCTTGATATATATATATTCCCGGAGAATCATTTGTAACTCTCTTTTACTTAAATTCTTCTTTAAACCCAGCTCTTTATTGTTGGAGGATCAGAGATGTGAGACAAGAAGTGAAGAACATCATCCGCAAGATTTTCCGCTGCTTTTAAAATTAAAAACTATAAAAAAGGAACTGCTAAAGTGAGCTCATTTTGCTGCGGATATCAAAGCCTGTATATATCTTTTAAGACCCATACAAAGTTAGAAAATATCCCAAGTTATACTCTACATGAAAAATTTGTACAATTAGAGCAGTGCTTTTTCAGCTTAATTTGAAATGCCTACATGTAAATATTACAAACCTTTTGCGGGTAGCAGTATAAACTAATAATAGCATGGTTTGTACGTTATATTTGGCATAAATACCACTCGTGATATTTCAAAATTGTCTCTAATTTCACTCGCCTAAAGGCTCATGAAATTAAGTATAACAATTTCGAAATACCACTTGTATTATTTACGAAGACAAAATTGTTGTTTTTCAGTTTTCACACAACACAACCCCCAATCAGGACAAACTTTGAAGGCTTCGTTCATCACTGAGAGGGCGGAAAAAAGCTTGCGAGGTGAGGGATGATATGTCAACAAGGACCCACTAGGGTTACCCTTATCTTCCTCTGTTCAAACTTACAGATCTAGGGACGAGATTTAGGGCATCCATCTGGCCGCAGTTGTTCAAAAGGTGGATAAGTAGTCGGTTTCCCTTATACTTATCCACTGGATAGTGATTTATTCGGTGGATAGCGGTATCCAACGTTTGAACAACCCGGGCCTGGTGAGGGTGGTGGAAACGAATTTTTAACCTGAAAATTGGATATAAGATTTTCGTATGCAGTGAACATAGCGCGATACAGAAAGACTGAACAGTCAGTTTAGCATAGCTGTAGTTGGCCTTACTTGTTTGCTTTGCTCCTTATAGCATAGCATGCGCATTGTTTACCCGAAATAGAGAGGTCGATGCTTACTTCATGGCAACTATAATTATCAAGACAGTCCTCTAATGGAAAGCGAGCTTTCTACGACGCTAAATGGAAGAAATATATACAAAATAATAGGCCTGGCAGCCGGATTATGTAAGTGTATTCGGCGTTCGAAATTTAACAAATGGCCGTTTAACCATTCTTTTGACTCGTTACATTTTATAATTTCCGTTTTCATTAGTCCAGTTGCCAAGAAACTTAATGGTTGTCCTGTGGCACCTTTTGAGCATGCGCATTTTCGCTCAAGAGCATGAGGTTTCTTTATTTTGCGTCAGTTCAGCATAATTTTGTACAAAAGCGAAATTAAATTGTTGATGTTCTTAATATACAGATTTAGCCAGGGCTAAAAGCGAAGCTCTCGATAATTTTGATAGTTTGCTCAAACAAAATATAAAATCGTATAATGCTAAGGGGCGAAGGCAACGAGAACGGTAAAAAACAAACAAACAAACAAACAACAACAACAACAATAGGTCTAATTAGCAAACAAGCAACTTTACACGCGCAGCACACCTTTTTGTACATTTCTTTGCCGTTGTTTTGCCCGACTGCAACGTGAAACTTCCAAAAACTTCCTGGTTACATGTTTTAAGTGTCGTGCGTGTTCTTGCTCACATTTTTTTTTTTTTTTTACAAGCGCTCTGACAGAGAAGGCTCCCTCATCGCTGAATGAGGGGCGAATAATTTCGAACGACGACGGCTTTTTAAATTATTTTATTAAGATGAAGGATTACATTGTTAAAACAACGAGGTCTCTGCGAGCTTAGTGAAATAGCCGAAACATTCTCTATAGTTTACGTAACGGTTTTCAGGTTGTTTATTTATTTGATTGTATGAAAACACGGGAGCCGTGGACGAATTGCCACGAAGCTAGAATAAATTCAAAGAAACAAAACTCGGATATCACACCGAAAGGGGAAAAAGTTTTCTCTGAATGGAGGCTGTTTTCGAAAATGAATTTTACTTCTTATCATTCTTCATGTTATCGAATAGAAACCAGAACTAGCGAGAACTCAGACGAGTTGCGAGCGATTGAGAAAGCTTATGTGGCTGTAACTTGCTATAAATTGGTTGATCCGACTTTCTGGTTTCATTAAGTCAAACCCACCGCCCTCATATCAATAAACAAAAAATAACTATAAAATACTTACTACGATCAAGATCAAAACAAGAAACGTTATGAAACAAAATAAAATAACCACTAAATAGGTTTCAAATTTACATGCAGGTGTTAAATGATGAGACTGTTGAACAACAAAAGCAGTTTATTCAATGGACAACCAGGCTCCCAGAACAAATTAAAATGCAATATGCCGCAGATCTTTAATTGGCGACAGAAATAGGCTATGCTTATGCACACCATACCGGATGGCTTTTTGTGCCAAAACCATAAGCAACTCAGACTGAACACCTAGTATCCAATATGTGACTCAGGACATGTGACGCTTCGGGAAAATTTTGAGATAAATTGTTTGCAGAGAGTGTAAACACAGAAATACATTGTATGGAAGTAATGAACAAAGTGTTTGCACAAACAATTTATTTTGTGTCTCCGTCTTCCTAGCAGAAGCCGCTTATAAAAAAAATGTTTGCATGTGAAAATTTTCCAACCTCCATCTTAAAAAAATAATGATCCGTCCTCTAAAAGAAAATCTCGCCTAAACCACCGTTATTATGAGTGAACAGAACCCCTATTCGGTATGGTTTTCTAGCCGGCGCAAAAGCCATCCTGTATAGTGTAAGCAGAGCATTAATTTGATCATTATATCATAAACCCAGCCAATAAGTAGGGGCAGCAAACGACTGTTCGCTGTAAAATATCAGTTCGGAGAAGTAAAAATTCCCTGGACTTTTCTATAGCTTGAGGATCGCTAAAAATTTCCAGGTGACCGGCCCTTTCATGTACAAATTTCGAAGCTTATCTAATAAATTCCCCGCGATTTTGTTTAGTTTAATTTTGCATTTCACTCCCCAGGTTATGCTATTTTTCGATTCGTAGAAAAAGAAAACCCAAAACCTTTTTAGTATTCAAAATTGTTATGGACAGAGGAATCAGAAAATTCTCCCTTTTGTAAAACTTTATATTGCATCTAAAACTTTCGGGAAAGTAATATTGAAGCCCTTGTAATTTCGAAAAGACTAAAGTTGCCCTAGTATGACCGAACAGATACCAATTTTATATTAATTCTATAGCTCCGCTTAAAATGCATTTCGAGAGGCTTAAAAGTACTCAAATTAGTCTAAAAAGTGTTTTCAGTGCATTTAGGAGGAAACCATCAAAGAGTGCCCATGACGCATGGAATGCTCGGATTCAACAAGCATGGCAATTCTAGCAGGCCTCAATATTTAGGCAATGACTCTGATCGTGATTGCTCTTCATAAAGTGACGCGCGTTTATCCACCAACAAATTAAAACTGTTATTTCGATTCCTGACAATCACCGATCTTTTAGTTGGACTTATCTCTCAACCATTTTACGTTGTATTTCTCGTTTCTTCACTTCCGAAAATTAATATGGATCATGTCGCAGTAATAAGGCGGAACGTTTTCTTTTCTGTGTTACCCCTAGTATCCATCCTCTGATGTCGGCTTCCATAAGTGTGGAGAGACTTCTTGCCCTGTTGTTATAGACAAAACATTAAGACGCGTCTCTTTGGTTTTAATCTGTGTTTGGTTAATTAGTGCCCTAACATCCGTTAATAGAAGCTCTTTATTTAAAGTACATTACCGCTCTGGGCTATCCATGTCTTATTAATAATGTCTGTTGTTTTTAATAAACGTTTACGTACGTAAAAATTTCACAAACTTTTCGTAAGAACCAAGCTCAAATTCGAGAACCACCAAACGGAAGAGACAATCATCGGAACATAGCTGGATACATGAAAACCGTTTACAGGCATAACATGGGTGCAGCTAGCCTTACTTGGTTGCTATGCTCCACTAGCTGTCATTTCAATAACATTCTGTTTAATAGCCGGTTTCAGTTAAATACCACAACAGCCATCGCTCGGGAATCATTTGCAACTCGGCTTTATTTAAATTCTTCTCTAAAACCTGCGCTTCATTTTTGGATGATCAGAGATGTGAGACAAGAAGTGAAGAACCCGATCCGAAAGATTTTCTGCTGTTGAGTTTAATAAATTATTTGATGCCTGTAAACAAGAAACAGATAACAAAGACACAACATATATTAAGAAGTAACATGAAAATCTTACTATAAAATATATTTCAAAATGAACTATTTACAAAATTGTCTTTGGAGTCGTTTAACCCGAGAACATTAACTAAGCACGTTAAGAACATTAACTAATGAGACGGCTAAGAATCCACCCCGCGGTTCAGATGAGAAAAATATCCCTTATCCATCAATCTGAGTTCCGACAAAACTGAAACTTTTTATTTTTACACTGAAAACGTGACTTTCTTTTCAGCTTAGAAGAAGACCAACTTGTCATCCGATGAAAAAAAATCTATATAACTATACATTGAATGCGATGAATAAAACTGCAGCCAGATACCCGCCTTTAAGACGCTAAATAGTGAATCTGTAAACCTTTTCTAAAACAAAAGACACTGGGGCCAATACGGCCCTGTTCAGTGGCGTGTTTCCGCTTAGGCCAAATAAAGAAGAACCACCACTCCTGAAAACAGAGTTGTAAGAGAACGTATAGGTTCGTTAAAATGAACAACTAAGTATATGACAAACGAGAGAATTGGTTACTATGAACCGTTCATTAAGAATAAATGTTTTCAATCCATTTCAAATTGTCCAAATGTAAGAAAAACAATAAAGCAGTCTTGGAAGCAAATTACAAACCAAGATATTAAACAAATAATAACTGCAATGAGTACAAGCCTAATCAGTAAGATTATTATCATCATTATCAAATAGCACTAACGGAAAGAAAATAGCGGCTTCCTTGCAGACAGAGACACTGTTATTGGTAATTCAGTCAATAGATCAGAAACACTTGTGAAGGCAAACCCACGACGCCAAACCAGTGAGGATCAGCCGGATCTTTCATAGTCATGTTTAGTAGACCTGGATCGGTAAAATTTGGAATACCAAGTTTTAGAATTAAAACAGTAAACTGATCCTTAAGAGTCATAGAAAAGATAAAGAAAGAAAACAATCTTCCTGCCGTAAGGATCGCTTTACTGTTTTCATTTTAAAATTTAGTCAATAGATCACCTGCCCAAGTCTGCCCATATCGTTTATAAGCGACCACATTTATCAAACTAATAAGGTGGTTGTCATTTCGTTGTTTTATAATCGGACTATTAAAGAGTTCGTGCATTGAACGGCTAACTTAAGACACTTAATCAAACAAAGAAATTTTCTCCTAAATTCAACAATCGGCATACTCAGTTTCTTAGGTTAGGTTTAGCTCCTAGAAACAACAGGGAAATAAACAAGATACGAAAGCAGTTCAAAGACCACTGACCGATATGTAGTCAAATAATACACTAGTTCTAAATGTGGCAGTCATCCTGTTTAGCTCAGAACCAATTAAAAGCAACCTGTTATTATAATCTCTTTAGAAACTGTTTATAAGGGCTCTCAGTTCCTGTGTTGTTTCCAAAAGCAATTACTAAAATTAGAGGGAATTCTTTCCATACATATTGAACCAAGTGTAGTTCCTTTGCAACAAATGTAAAGACATGGCAAACTCAACTGAATATGAAAACAGCACAAGTGCGACTGACGTAACTTTATGGAATGCTTATTCAACGAGCAGGGCAATTCTTGCAGGCATCAATATTTTTCTCGCCATCACCGCATCTCTTGGCAACGCTCTGATCCTGATTGCTCTTCATACAGTGACGTCCATTTATCCACCAACTAAACTGTTATTTCGATGCCTGGCAGTCACCGATCTTTTTGTTGGACTTATCTCTCAACCACTGTATGTTACTATTCTCTTTCCCCGGTTCACAACTTGGAATGAAAATGTCGCAATTGTTTTAGCAGACGGCTTTTTCTTTCGTCTGCTTCCTGCAGTATCACTCCTTACATCAGCGGCCATCAGTGTGGACAGACTCCTTGCCCTGTTGTTAGAGCTGAGATACAGACACACTGTAACATTAAGACGAGTTTGGGTGGTTATAGTTTGTATTTGGTTGATTAGTGCCCTTCCAGCAACAGGTGATATATTCTTTGAAGATCCAAAACTAGCTGAAATTGCCTTTTGCTTATTCTGTGCTCTATTAACACTTTCCTTGCTAGTCTCAGTATTCTCTTACGCGAAGATAGTTAAAACCCTTCGTTATCGGCAAGTTAAGGTTCATCGCAATACTCAACAAGGACAGCGGCCAAATGGAGGAGGGAATCAACTGAACATAGCTCGATACAAGAAGACAGTGTACAGCATAGC